GGGTTTTGGGGTGGTGATGGTGTTTTGGTGTTGTTTTTTTTTTCCCAGATAGCAGAACTTAGATATGTCTATTTCAAGGCTTTAAGAATCCTCCTCCTTCAAGGATGCAATATAAAATGGTAGGCATATGCAGTGTTACTTGTTTTGCGGAATTCCATAGCCTCAGCAAAGGCATCAACTACACGGTCTTCCAAAAGATGCTAAATTCAGCTTCAATTATTTTCACTTGACTAGTCCATGTGGTCATCTGAGGATTTTTTTTTTTTGCTCTGGAACATCTTAGTGTTCTATGTACCAGTAAGAAATCTATTCTTCGGTAAGTTATGTCAACGTGGTTGTACAACCAAGGACTCTGGAGGTGACTAAGGAAATTTTTGTGTTGATTCTTAAGACAAGATCTGAGGATTTTGACAAGAGTCTTAAGACAAGAGTCTTAAGAGTTGACAAGACCAGAATGCAAACTCAAGAGACCTTCTTAAATTTGTCAAATTAAAAAAAGTTGTGAGGCTTTGACCTGACAAGTATTAGTCACATCTTCCACTACTTACAAGAATTTCCATTCTTTGTTAACTATCTTTCTTTGGTTTGAAGAATTTGGTTTCATTTTAGTATCACTAGTGGTGATGTTTTCATTGTGGGTTTTTTTAAAACGTTCTGAATTTTTTTTCCTTTTTGCTGAGTTTGGAAATGTGTAGGATAAAGCAGAAGAAATGTCTGACTTACAGTGGTAGCAGAAAGAACGTAAGTGTAACACCCCCATCATCAGTAACTATGCCAATAACTATGACACATTAGTTGTTTAGGTCATTTATGGAACACTAGAAAATCAATGGGTGAGGAAAAAACTCTGAAGTCCCTGTAGTTTACCCTTTTTCCTCTCTACATTTCTAAAGAACACTAAACCTTGATAATTCGTTAGGTAAGCAAGGTTATGAAGTCTGCAAAGCTGCACTGCATAGGCAGCTGCTTGTGGTGCTCACTGCTGAGAACAGATCTGTATTCCAAACTCTTCTGTTTAGGCCTGATGCTCTAAAATAGCTCGATTGCACCCTGAATCCAGTGATGAAGCAAAATTACTTCCTTTGGGCTTTTAGAGAGGCTTCTACTAGTTCCACAGCAATGAAGTCTGGGCAAAAAAAGTGAGTGTGGTGTAAAGACTTTCTGCCGCCTTAAAGTAATCGGGTTTTCAGTGTTGATGTACAAGGTTCTTAAGAAATACCGAGGCATCATACCAGTCCTGTAAGAATCTCTTTATTTGTGTCCATTTTTTATTTAGCATATTACAGCTCCAGCAGAGACATGGAGTACATGTATGTACCAACATTTGCACATGGATATTGTGAAGATGACACTGAGAACACCGATCTATGGGGCCAGCCCAGTGGAGTTACTTGCAGGAAAGGGTAACTTGCAGAAATTCAGTCATTTCTGCTTGTACCAAGACAACAAGATCAAGTTCTGTTAACAACAGATGGTAGTTCTCCTTCAAGTACAAATCTGACAAAGGAGCACTGAATTTAGCCACTGGTCAAGAAATACCAACTTATAAAGACAAGAAGTTGATTTAAAGCCTAACTGTTAAGTTCTAAGAGAGATGTAAGGAAATGTTTTACGTTACTAGAAATGTTTTATCCCCATTAATAACAGTGGAAGAACTGTTGAGTGGTATGAGAAATGAAAAATAAGTTCTGTCTCTAATACGGATCTTGTTAGGCTTGGAAAGGCTAAGATTTATCAGCAGCTTTTAGAGAAGTTATATAGTACTTTGTACCTAATCAAATAGACTATTAAGTATCTATTTATTTTTACTTATTATTGCAAGAGGTGAACTAAATTACACTGGCCACGTGACTGCTATATACACAGCCGATAGTGTTTAAAACACAGCACTAGGATTTAGTAAGGCTTACAGAAAAGTTGAGTGGGTTTAAGACAGGAAGGTAAGACAAGAAATTAAACCACTTAAATGGTGAATCACTTCAAACTTTTTACGTGTTTACATCTACAACTTTGTTGTAAACTTTATCCTCTTCAGCACATCCACGCATAACAAAAACTTGTCATGGAATGATCAGCTGGGATATTTTACATTTTTTCCTTCAAATGACAAACTGCATGCTGTCCCTCCAAAAAATGACACACAGTGGGTCTCATACTTCCCTATCCAAGTTGACAGCCATAAGGGCTGTGTCTTCCAGCTTAAAATGCTTTCTCTTAAGACACTTTTACACCTCTTCTAATAATACATATCTCTCAAATTTAAAACTGACCTGCTGAGTTGCACTGTGTGCTTTGTTCTTTTGCAGTTCTTGCATCTGAAAATTTACAGTGAACGTTTATATACCAACTTGTTGCAGAAAGCTGCAAGTCTTCAAAAGTCTATTTTAAGATTAAATCTTTTGAATTTAAGATTGTGGACCAGAAATTACTTTCTGTCGTATCAAAAGCTTAAGCTTAAATTCTGCGTGTTCTGTGAGTTAACAACTGTCATAGCATTACTGTAGGCTTTAAAGAAGTGTTAGCATGGACAAGAGAACAGGGAGATTTCAGTAATTCATGCTGAATTTGTTGAAAATACTGCAGTGTGGAAGAGTAAATACAGATTCAAATAAAAAAAAAATTCTTTTCCATTGATTGCAAAAAAATCCTTTATTCTCTTAACAACTTTGGTTGCATTCCTACTGATTGGTCAAGAATTCATCACGTAACACCACCACCATCTCTATTAAGGAAGTTTCAGTGCTCATGCAAAGTTGTTCTTAGTACAGTCAGAAGAGACTGCAGATTGTTATGAGCAGACAAAGCTCACGGAGGTTGTAGTCCATCCGATTAATGACGTAGTTCTGAGGACTGACATGCAAGGTAGTTAATATTTCAATAGGACTTTAGGAAAAAGTGTTTGTAATGGTATCGCTCCTTAGCAAAAGGTGGTTTGTGCTTTTGAGCATGATCTTAAAAGGCACTCTATTAACAAGTTCAGAAGACAAATTTATTTAGCAAGAAGAGGCAAGAAGTTGTACTTTAGTCATCTTGTGCTGATCTTGTACAATTTAATCCATCCATTACTTCATGCTAATATAAGCTTGATCACTTGAATGAAGTTACTCCTTCCTATATTTAGTATCTATCCATTCCAGAATACACATACTGCACCAGATACTGTGCTATAACAAAACATGCAACAGTGAACAATCTCTATCATCAGGTGGCTAGAACATGTAATTTCATCATTTACAACTTTATTGGTGGGGAATACATCTGTTATGCCATCTCTCACAATAATTCCCTGCATATTCAAAGAGGATCCATTCAGACTAGTATTTTCCTTATATAATAGCTTCATGTTACCATATGCACCACAGTCAAAGTGTTAAGAGTAATTAACACACACAAAGACACAACTAAAGTGCAGAGCCTGTGGGATATATGCTTTTTATTTATGCTACTGCAGAAGGAGATTACTGAAAGATTTATTCTGCATGAAGATGAATAGAATATTTTCATTAAGCTTCAGATGCTGCCCACTGAATTGCTTTTAAATAAAAATGCTTACTTTCTGTCAGACACAGCAAAGTAGTCAGCAAACTTACAACACATTCCTTTAATATATCAAAATGTTTTCAAGGCAATATTATTACAATTACACCACAGTTCCCAGTAACATCAAGCTTCATAAAGGAGGTGGTAGGGAAACTTTATCCAGTTAATAGTTTAAGTGCTTTTCTTTTCTTCACCCAGTAAGTTCACTGTTGCTTTCTTGGCTGCAGGAAAATAAAAGCAAGTTTAATCTTAAAGGTCTACAGACTACAGAGGCTTATTCAGTGTTCTTAAGATGCATAAAAAAATAATTTTCATTTTAGGTCAGAAAAGAAACATGACAAAAGAAAATCATAGCTTTTGTATACACATACACACAAACAGAGTGATAAAAGTGATCATATAAAGATTTTTAAAAATAAACCATAAGCAAGGAGCAGCACAATGAACAGCACAGACTGACTTAAAACTATGGTATCAATAAAATAGAGCTGCTCACAGTGTTTAGGACATACAGGTTTACAGCAAGAAATATACTACTGAGCTGATGAAATAGGGCTGGAATAATGCTATGTGTGTACATGCATATGTGTGTGTATGGTTTCTTAAAAAATATATGTATGTGGAATCTTTACATGTACAAATAGGAAAAAGAATAAGTGATGGAATGTGGACAGCAAAATCCCATGTGCAACAAAGAACAACATTATTTGAGACATCTGTCTAACAAATGATTCAGAAAGGGTCATGCAGCAAAATTTCCAAGTGTAGTTGAGAAAGGCATTTAAATACTGACAGGAAAACTGCTTAAGTTGGTAAGAAGAAATGAGACTGCACATGTTGTTTGGGGGAAAGGAGACTTCAGGTGCTTTGAAATATAAATAAATTTCCTTTCAAATGAAATTGAAATAAGCCTTTATTTTAGCTACTTAAAACATTTCCTTCTCTCATTCACGAAACTATCATCAGACATTTTAGAGTACAAGGGTTCACTACAGAATGCAAGGAAATAAAAGCAATAATTAAGCAGTCTACAGGCTATGATAACATTTATTCTAACCAAATAAAAACCTAAGTAATTTCTTTATGAGTGGGCTCAGAATCCTTTGATCTCCAAAGGAAAAGCACAAAAACTTATAGATGGGAAAAATTCGTTTCACACGTTGCTGTTTATTGGAGTTAAAAGATTTGCTTTACTACACAATTGGCAGCCCTTCTGTACTACCAGGTATTCGAGATGGTATTTTAGGAGATACAAGAATACACTGAAACAATAACTCCATTTATGGAAGGTATCTTGTGAGAATGTTTGGATCTGCCTCTAGAGAGAACGTTTATAGTGATATGTATGGTGGGAAGACACACAAACTAATTAACTGTTTCTTCTACTCATAGAGCTTGCACTCATTCTAGCATAACTTCACTCAGAGAAAGTAAGATCCACTGCAATCCTCTTTTCTTGGCATCTTCACCCAAATTTAACAACTCCATTATAATTTACATAGTCTTCTTACAATTTTTTTCCCCCAAATGATGAATATTAACTGTAATATTAGAGTTGCCCAGGGAAATTCCTACTGCTTGATGTGATCAGTCTTTTCCTCACCTTCTTTAGTGATGGTATCTGCAGTTTCTGCAGCCTTGTCTTTCAGGTCTTTAACAACACTGTCAAGCTGAGCTTCGTGCTTCAGGAAGAAAGGCCGGATAATTCGATGATAGAGAAACTCTGCCCCATTAGAAGGACTTGGAGCCATGCACCACAACAGGAAGCCACACTACAAGGAATAAGAACATCTGCCTAAGTAGAAGAAATGAGTAGGAGACAAGGTGTAGCGTGCCTTCCTAACTCTGCCACAGACTTGAGCATATTGGTACATCATCGGTTACATTTTGTATGGTCACAGTCCAGTAAGTATGCGTATCAGTATAGTTACATACAGTGAATCTTTATACTGGAATAATTTCATGGGTACTGATAGGATAAAGCAGTAAAGCTAATCTGGTAACAGGTGTGTCAAGACTGCATGTACCTTTTTTTAAAGGTAGAAGTATAAAACCTGATTAGACAAAACATAAGTCTCTCTGGCTACTTCTAAACTATGTGGCACAGGCCTGACTGGTCTAGGTTGCCAAATCACTACTTAAATCCAGCCAAAACATATCCCTGTCTTCTTTGCCTCCCTGCTTTCAAAATGCAGCAGGGAAAAGAATGGGATTGTGTGCATCCCAGAGCTCAAGCGACAAGGAAGAAAGATATATCCAAGCAACACATAGCGCACAGACAAGGGTAATGCTTTTGGATTGCACGGTTTGGGTATAGCTTTTACAGCACAATCTGCTCTCGGGGGGGGGGGGGAAACCCAAAACAAAAACACAACCAAAACCCAAACCACCACATTGTGTGGGGTAATATTTCTGCACCTTACAAAGGGGATTGGAAAGACAACTATTACATGTATTACAAATACCTGTCTTTAATACTGAAGCATCTTTCTTTGGCTTCAGTTTCACTGTCATCCACAATACAAAGATAGCTATGCAAAACAAGATCAAAACATTTAAGGGACAGGAAATGCCATAACTAAACTTGCTTGAGCTCTAAAAGTATATATAAAAAGATTTTACAGGATAAAACCGCAAAAAAATTTAGACATTTTCTCAGCAATTCTACAGTTCTTTCCAGACACAAATAGTACAATCTTAATCTGTGTCAAAAGCCTCTCCAGAAAATTAAGGCAGAACAGCTTTTCACAGACCACCTTTTCTTAAACCACAAAAGAAAACCACCCCAGCCTCAGCTGAGATATGCTTTGTTTTGATGTTAGACATGATTAAATGTATGAGGATTTTCACACATTTTGGGGAGGAGAGGGAGACAGGGAGAAAACAAAACCACAACTCAGCTCTTCTTCCTGAAAAAGAAAAAAACACTACACAATTAGATAAATTAGGCACCAAAAATCAAATTCATCATTTAAACTACAATAAAACAATAAGCAACCTGAATGTCTGCATTTAAATACAGTAGCACTTATTTACATAGCTTAGATTTCAGAAGTTTTCGAGTTTTCACAGCAGTATCTACAGCAGCCAAAGAGATGTATCTATACCTGTGTTAGAGCTTCTGAAAGTAATTTAAAAACTATAAGCAAATTCTTACTTATGAGGTTTCCAGTACATTGCATAGCACAAAAGCATTTCCTAGAAACTAGTTCGACCACAGTATCCTTTCAGAATTCCAATGTGCCCAGCCAGACATTTCTTTCTCCTCTCCTTTCCCTCATACTTTTGATTTCCTACTGTAAAACTGCAAAGACAGAAGCACATCCAAATATTTGTTTTGGTATTACGTAAGAAACTCCTAAATAACAATTTCACCATTACAAGGTGATTTAAGTCAAGAGAGGTTATTTTAAAAGAAAGGTTCTGATTTAAGTTTAACAAAAAGGGGGAAAAAAAAAAAACAACGAAATCCCCTTTCAATTATGAAAACCACATAGCCTTCTTCAGGTGAGCCTTCCAAGTATTTTGGACTGTCTCCCCTCTATTCTTCATCAGATGAGGGATACTGTATTGAGATTGAATCTTCTGTAGGTTCTGCTCTTCATACCTGTAAAATTTTGGCTTTGTCTTCACTGCAGTGCACATCACAGTAAAACTGATCCCCCTGATGCACATCAGTTGCAGAAAACACCTACTGTTTATGGAGGAGATTGCAACTTCTTTTTAATTCAAGGCCACTTCTCATTTCCTTTGTGCTAGAGAAAATCAGTTATAATATATTTGGAGCTGGAGAGGTACCTTGACAGGCTCTCTCTTTGAAAAGGATCACTGATTCCTGGGGATAACAACTGCCTTCTACAGAAGACTTTGCCAAACCAACTCACCGTCCTTTTAGGCAAGCTTTAAGCTTTCTTCCTTAAACTATTTGATCATGGTGTCAGAACAGAATTACTTTAAGGAGTGTTTGCCCAGAAGACAAAGGTTTTTCAAAGGAAAGTGTCAATCAGTGAGAATGCCTACCAGGAGTATACCAATGAATTAAAAGAAATAATTCAATATGCAATAAAATTTGGTACCAGTAAGTAGCAACTGATGCAGCATCATTAACCGTGGTCAAAGAAAATATAGGCAAAAATTGATGGAATATCAATTTTCAAACGCTTCCATTATTTGGAACTTAGTAACACAGAAAGAATAAATGGCACTATCTTATGCTGTTATCTTTCATTAAAAGCTCAGAAGTATATTATTTCTTATTAAAGAATACCTGGTCAATTACTGGTAGTTATTCTACTTGTCCCAATATACAAAGATGTTACTTGGTTCTCCTTTGTTTTAGGAAATCCCTCAGCTGTAAGTCCAACTTCCTCTGAAACTAAAAGAAATTGAATCTTCCCTTTTCTTGCCTAAGAACAAAATGAGTCACTTTGATTTTACAGCTCTGTCTCAGTCTACTCATGAAATCTTCTACAGTTACAGATTTGTTCTCTCAAATACCTATTACTTTTGAAATGTACTGAAACAGACGTTTATATGCATTTTCTAGAGGACACATACCAAAGTTGCAAATCTAAGTCTTTTCAAAGCTTAAGAATGTCAGACTGCTAACTTATTTTTCCCTTGTCTCTCAGGAAACTGAACTAACATAGACTATTAAAAATAAAGTGGTTGGTAAAAAGGCCCAGAAAGCTCAGAGTGATAAAACTGTTAACTGGCAAAAAAAACCCCAAACCATCCCATATTATTTGTGACCCTCTAGACCAGCCAGAGGAGGGAACAGAGTTCATGCAATAGTGACTTCCTTAGGCAGGATACCAAAGGGTTAAACACACCACTGAAGTTTTTTTCGGGGAGATCCTCCAATCCCGTGATCCAGAGAGTTCAGGGCAAGGCCCCTGGGTTTTGTAAAGGCATTACTAAGGGTAAGGGGGCCCTGTTCGCATGCTATGTGCTGGCTATAAACCCGGGGGGGCGGGGCGGGGGGCTTGCTTGCATGCACAGGAACACCCAGAGTGCCAGCCCTAAGGTATAGGAAAGGTCTGAGGTGATGTGCTGCACGCCCCGCTCAAGGTAAAGGGATGTGTGGGTGTGAATGTTTCTGATTCTACTAATTGTCTGTAATTTTACTAATTGTCTGTAAATGGTTTTCATACTTGTCATATCATTATCTGCAATTATTGTATCACGGGTTATTGTTAATTTCGGGTATTGTCAATTTTTGGGTATTGTTAATTTTGAACTTCTGCAATTTTAGATTTAATGTTTTGTCAGATTTTGGTAGCTGGAATTTGTTTGGGTATTGGGTATTTGTAAAACTTTATAACATGAGAACTGGACAGTTTATGGGGAAGGGAATCCCTAAGTGCTTTCCCTTGGGTTGTATATTAAAACACGGGAGTGAGTTCAGGGGTGATTCCATAACTCAGAAAAAGTTAGTAGAATATTGTAATCACTGGTGGCCTGTGTACACTTTGGATGATCAGGAAAAGTGGCCCAAGAACTGAAGTTTAAATTATAACGCAATACTACAGTTACTGTTACTTTGCAGATGAGAATGGAAATGGGATGAAGTGCTGTATGTGACTTTGTTCTTTACATTACGAGATAATTATGATGCACGTAAGGAATGTGGCTTGACGACAAGTGAAAACGGTGTAGAAGAATTAGCATTAGAGGTAGAAAAGAAGCAGCTATGTTGTTTGGTATGTAGCACTGGCAGGTGATGCAAGAAATATGAAGAATAACGGGAAAAGGATGTTGAAAAGAAAGAGGAGGATGTTGAAGTGTTGGTTGCACAGAGAAGGGGCAGGAGACCGAGAGAACAAAGGAATAGTGATTCAGATAATGAGGAAGAAGGTTTAGGACTAGGCGAAGAAATGCTCAGAATATACAAGCACCTCTCAGGCAAGCATTAGGACCAGAGAGGACAGTTTGGCTAAAGGTAATGTTTTCAGTATCAGATTTAAAGGCTTGGAGAAGATGGCAGGCATGTACAGGGAGGACCCTGAACAGGTAACAAAGGTTATGGACACTATCATTGAAAACCAAGATCCGGATTGGAAAGATCTGCAATTTATCTTAAACAATTTAGTGCCTTATGAGGAAGGAGGATTATTATGGCTAAAGCAAAGAGGACGCAGAACGAGTACATGTTCAAGCTGTACATGCGGGTGGATAGAGGATCATTCCCCCCCCAGTAATCCTAATTGGGATCCCAACGTCTCAGCTCAGAGATTATTATTAACCGAGTATCAACGATTAGTTTTGTATGGGATCCAGAATGCTATACCAAAGTCAAAGAATTGGTCTGAATTGTATCAGGTCATCCAAAGAAAGAATGAGGATCCCTCTTCTTCCTTTGAAAGACTAATGAAGACTGCAAAACAATATACTGATTTGAATCCAGCAAATGAGGTGTATGTTGTCTCATTGGTCCATATATTTATGGGACAATCAAGTGCAGACATAAAACGGAAATCACATTAGTTAGAAGGGACAGATGCCCACTCGTTGCATAAAATGGTGGAAACTGCCTGGAAAGTATGTAACAATAGAAAGAAGGTAGAAGAAGAAAAAGGAAAGAGAAGCTCAGAGATAACAGGTTACTGGCAACAGCCATAGCCCAAGTAGGATTTGAGAGCAGGGCTATGAGGGCCCAAGGCGAAGGTTTCCCAGTGTAACACCTAGGGCCAGAATGTCAATAGAAAATCCTCAGTAAGCACTAGTGAAGCCTCTTATCAACTACGCATGGCCAATAAAGCTGCAAAAGAAGTAGCTGAAAGTCAAATACCACTAGCTTTATCAGAAAAGGTCCAGAGGCTGGGATCTAAGAGTCCACAGTATACAGCAGAGGACACCAACTGGCTAATTTAGTGGAGGCAAATAAAAACCAAGAAGGGTGGTGAGCGACCCTTCACATCACGTAATAGTCACACAAGAAATTATGCGTGAACTAGCAAACAGACAACACCAAGCAACTCAATTGAATTGAGACAATGGTGGAAACATGGAAAACACAAGTGCTAAGTGTACAAATGACTGGGATAGCCAAAAGCATAGTGAAGAAATGTGAATTATGCTTAAAGAACAATCCTTACTTCCCCTAAAGTCTTTTATTAGGAGTGACAAAGAGGAGGAACAGTCCAAGAGACTATTGGCAAAAAGATTTTTCTGAATTACCATGGCAAAATGGGTACCAGCATCTTCTAGTTACGGTACACACTTTTTCAGGCTGGCCAGAAGCTTTCCCTTTTTGCACCAATAGAGCAAGAGAAGAACCAAAAGTATTACTTAAGGAAATAATACCAAGGTTTGGGGAACCTATAGGACTATCTTCAGACAGAGGCCCACGTTTCATAGCAGAAGCTGTCCAAAGTTTCGCTAAAGTAATAGGGGTGAAATGGTATCTCCATACCTCATGGAGACCTCAATCCAGTGGGAAAGTAAAAAGAATGAATCAAAGCCTGAAGAGACAGCTAAGTAAAATATGCCAAGAGGCTCAGATAAAGTGGTCAGATGCTTTACCCTTGGCTTTGTTATGAAGACATATGCAGCCTAAAAATAAAGAGAATAGTCCTTTTGAAATCATATATGGTAAACCCTATCAGGTGACCAAAACAGGAGTCAATCGTGAGATGGTAGGGAGACATTACCTATAGGAGTATGTCAGCTCTCTAGAAAAGGTTCTGTCCTCTCTCCACAGATATGTCACTGCAAGCACACCTTTATCCCCAGACGTGCCTGTGCACCAATACCAACACGGAGACTGGGGGTATCTGAAGACACGGTCAGATGAATCATTGAAGGAGAAGTAGAAAGGGCCTTTCCAGATTTTACTAACCACCTATACAGCTGTCAAACTTGAAGGAGTCACTCCATAGAAAATAATTGGCTCAAAAAATCCTTCAAGAATTAGGTGAATGGTCCCTAAAAGGATGGATAGCTACGCTATTAGAGGAAATCGATAACTATAGTAATTTTAGGGATCTGTGTATGATGTGCCAAAAGAGCTATTGAGAAAAACATATGGAAGTAGTAAGAAAAATTTCTTCCAAAATTTCCTCCAAAAAAAGAACCTACCTCCAAAAGGGGGATTGATACCAAAGAGTTAAACAGTTTAATTAAAATAACAGAGAAACAGGCACATTCTTCAGCCTGAGATCCCAAGGTTGGGAAGCATTAAGAAAGCAAAGAACAAATGATGAAGAGGACACCGTTATCTAAGTTAGTACATTAAGAACGCAAGAAGAGGCCTTCACGGGAGGAAGTTCTGGCTGTAAAGAGTCAAGTTGATAAAATGTTACAATCCACAGACATCAGTAGTTAAACGGCTGATAGTAGGACAAAGGTAATTGTGGTAGTGGGAGATCATGACCTCAGATGGCCCCCCCAAAAGAGGGCAAAACCCTACTTAGGGAGCATGCATAGTTGATAAAAAGGCTACACTAGTGCTTACTGAGGATGTATACTAATTCACATTAGAAGTGAGAAACTTGTAACCAACCCTGAGTGTGAATAACAATGAATATGTAGTGTACTATGAATATGCAATTATTTTATTGTATATAATGTCTATCTTCATGTGGCTTCGTGTGCATGCTAGGTGGAGAGATCCCCCATGCACCTGGTGCCAAATAAAGTAATGCCTGCTCTTTAATACATCAAGTGTCAGAGAGTTTTTACTCCTGATGTCAGTGACAGGCAGACACCTGAGCTGGGTCTAACCCACTTGGATCTGGTGCCCGCAGCTGTTCCTGCCCTGGCAGCACAAAACCAAATACAGCTGGGTTTGCCACTACAGCAGAGGAAGGGACTTCAGCTGAGAAACGCAGCAAGCATGCCCATGGCCAGTTCCAAACTTCTACAGACAGAAGACTATCAAAACCCAACACACGCCTCATATGACCACAAACATGAACACATTCCAAACAGACAACTGCAGTCATTAAAATAAGGTGTTGATTTTAATGGAAGTGAAGTAGCTCTTTAGTCGAAATCAGTAAGTAATTGCTTGAGGTGCATAGGTGAGAGGAAGGGATCTCTGTCGTGAAACTCAGACAGTGGCACGTTGCTACACTCACAATGACAACTCCTCCTGCTTCATTTGACTGAGTGCCTTGTAGCAGCAGTACGCATAATACACCCAGTGTGATGTGTCTGCTAGGAATTCTGTTCAGAAATAGTATTCTAATATTTCAAGACAGACTGAGTCTCCTCTCCTTCCCACTATCAAAAATACTCCTAGGATGATAATTTCTGCTACTTTCACTGGCTACTGTATTTTAATACCTGAATGCCAAGGAAATATTTAAATAATTAACAGAAGTATTGAAAAACAGATCACATATACATGAAATCATGAGTTGCATGCATGTGCTGTGGTTCAGAGAAAAAAAGCAGATAAATAAAAAGTAGGCATTAAAAAAAACCCACAAAACCTAAGAAATCTGAAAACAGCTTTCAACTGGAGAACAAAAGTATATGCAAATACCATAACATATTCAAAGGAGTTTTTGAACATGCCTTTCTTCCACCTACAAAAATTCTTAGTGTGCTGAAAACTTTGAGGTGACAGAGCCTAGGCTGTGTACTTAGAGGAATATGGGAGCAGCTATGATCAGCGTCTCAGCCCTGCACATCAAGGTATGCAGAAACATTGAGCAGCTAAAACTCAGGCTGGAGTGGAAGCTACAAGCTGTATCAAATAAATGTGAATAGGCAAATTTAGCATATTTGGAAAATGAAAGTGAGCTTGAAATTTGCATGAATAACATATCTGGGCTTCTATTTCATAACATCATAAAAGAGACACAGAGACATCACAAACTACACTAGAAGTGGTTTAGTTGTGGATGGACTGAAAGTTGTAAGCTGTCTGCTTCCTCTTTTTCCTCACATGGAGTAACTTCCATCCTTCCATCCAGTCAGCAATGCTTTCTGATTCTCAGCCAACACCTTCTGCCTGCCTATGTATAACAAAAGTAAACCTTTTCTACTACTCACTACTGAAAGTAAATACTTGGCTTTCACGTGCCTTCAGCAGCTATCACAGAAAGCTGTGCATTTACCATAATTGCTTCCTTGTGTTTGCTTCTGCTGAACTGAGAAAAGTACTTTTATGTTGACATCACCACTACATGATATGAAATAACTGCGTAAGTGGTTAAGAACAGATTCTTCCAGCGCAATAAGCAAGCTTTTTGGATCCTATTCAGATGAACTTGCACTTTGATCACTATTTGACTTGGTTCTAATATATTAAAACAGTAAAAGTTTCACATATGTTACCAACGCTAAACTTCAAAATTAGCAGATTCTTCTTATAAACTTCGCAAAACCATTAAGCTTAACATGGAAAACATTTTCTTTTTTAAGGGAAAAAAAATAAAGGTGGAGGAGGTGCAGAAAGAATTAGCTTTGTGAGACAGGCCAGAATATTTTTAGTTTGAAGCAGTTATTTAAACATGTGCTTCTTCTTAGCAAGCTAGGGAAATAAAAGTGTCCAGATGATTGCACAGTTGATGCCTGTTAAGATTAAAAAGGAACAATGCAGAAGCAAGAGGTGTAACTGAGCTGTCCAAGTCAATTTTTGTCTTTAAAGTATGGCACTTCCTGGAAAAAGCATTTGGCAACATCAGACCTCACCATTAAAATTTTAAATGACCCCACCACAATAGCTGGCAAGCAAATACTTTCAAGAAGTTTGGTGGGGCTGCACCAGGCTAACGACGCAAAAGATAAGGAACAGAACAGCCCACTGAAACAGGAAATAGGTAAGAGTTCTTTAAGCTAAACAGACTCTCCAGCAAGCTAGAATGTCTTCTACCCAACAGCATACATCGTAATTGACTATCTCCTAAAATAATGAACATGTTAAAGCTGACTGACAATACACTTACACCTTAATTGACAAACAAAGCTTGGAACACATTAAGCAAATCATTGTTGGTAGTCAAACCACACTAACAAATGCACATTGGCCACAAGCTCCTCCGATACGTGCCACTTCCTTTCAGGAAATTAGGCTTCATTAAAAATGAAGTCTGTATGATTCAAACTATTCTAATGTTGCAACTTCCTTCTTTGCTCCCAATAGCACAGATGTTAATACCTCCTTTTGCTGCCTTTGTGATTTTACTCGCCACTTTCACTAATGCACTTAAAGCAAAAATAGAGCTACTCTGCAGGGTTTACCATGTGCTGTTATTTTGCCCAAATTTACCTGAACACCAAGACAAAGATCTGTCTTTCCACCATACAGCTACACCACCTCTTTTTGTTCCTAAAACATGGTAGACCTTTCCCTGCCACCCATCCCAACTTCCTCTCTTGCCTTACAAAACCATCAGCCATAAACAGATCACTTTCATAGTGCTAAATTACATGTAACCAGCATCTAAAAATAAGGTGTGACCTAGGAATGATTCCAAAGGAATCTGTTGTCAGCTATCCATTCTTGAAGACATTAGATCAGTTTTATCAAAGGTCACATTTAAGAGAGGGGTCACATGAACTAACATACCTTTAGCATGTAGTAGAAAGGGAACCAGGACAGAAAGATATCAGAGAAGAATTCTACTATGCTGAAAACGCCATACACAACCCAGTAAGTCAGCCACTGTGTGTCATCATCTTTGTTGGGACTTTCAATGGCCTTGATTCTGCAAGGAAAACAAAACAAGTGAGCAGATCAGCAGCATCCGTCTCATCTATAATGGTGAAGTTTTTGACTCAGATTTGTCATTACCTGTGAATCCTCGTAATTTAACTACTCTATATGCTCTACAGAAGAGAACTAAGCAGCATCTATCACACAGATAACATGCCCAAGATCTTTGAACAGCAAAGGTTTTCCCTAAATGTCAGACTTCAAAAAGACAAGATACTCAAGCTATTTCTAGCTCTGCGATTACAAATTAAAAAGAAAATTAAAAAAACAAACCCCAAAAAAACAAACAAACAAAAAAGGTGAGCATCCTGTCCCTGTTCATGAGACAGTTCATGGGGACAGGGAAGAGAGGAGATAATCTCTGGCCAGTTCCAGTTCTGGAGGCATTGCGGTAATCCTGACCAGAAGACCATGTACACTGAAGCATTAGTGACCCACGTAACAGTTACCTGAGTGAGCCCAGGCCTGTGCTGCACGTACAGCCTGGCTTTCAGGTCTGTCCTGTGCTGCAAATTCCCCGGTCACAGGATAAACTCAGGAAGCACACTGAAACTGAGGATCTCACAGGCAGCTCCTACTGGGTACCAGTGATTACACTACCTGCCCAGCCTTGCCTGTATCCAACCGTGAACATCCTCCCTCTCTGGCAGTAGGAACAATTAATAGAGTTGTTGCCTTGAAAGAAAAATCCTACAATCGCTTAAATTATCAAAATGGGGTAACCTTGTCTACAGATGAGGTCTGCACAGTGTGCTGTGTGTGGATCGGAGCCCCATCCGGTCGTGCACAACTTGGAGTTCCCAGCATTTACAGGGATGGAAGATTGTCTATACTATTCTGTTTCCTTACAGCATTAGCTCCAATAAATAGCATGTTAAATGAAGCTTTACAGAATTCTGAATGCCTTTCTTATTGGGATCATAATAAACCAGCACGTCCTAGTGCAAATAGGATCTAGAAAAAAATTTTAAATCTAGTTCAGGATTTTGAAGTGAATCTCAAATATCTTTACTCACAATGTACATGTGCTAGAGTCCTCTTTGAAAAGGTAAACCATAAGATTTGCTCTAACTACTAACAAGCACTTCATCTACAGAAGCAGAGGAGATCCAGTACCCCCTGCCCTGTACAGTGAGGACCATGTATCTGCATTGCCAACTGTTTTGCTCTATAAATCCATTCCTACAGGACTTGCAAATTCTGATGTAGACTATGGTATTAATAACAGGGTGGAGTAATCTCTCGTAAAGTCCTGGGCTTCCTGTATAATGACTAACTGGGTTTGTACTCTCCAACTGCTAGAATAAGGCTGTTCAAGTTTATACGGTTCTAAAAATAGGAAGCTGAAAGACACACATGTGCTTCCTTCAGTAAAAGTAGTGAAGACTCTGGACTCGCCAAGTTCCAGATTAGCAGGGTAAGAAGTTTTAGAAGAAAATGCTAGCAACTGTAAGCCTGATAATGTGAAGCTTAAGAGTATTAAAAAGCATTTGTCCTCTCCCCTCATGCCATAGGATTAAAATCTGTAGACTCATTTTAATGAATTTAGTTTTAATTCTTTTATAACTTATTCCTTTAATACCAGCTATATTGTTGCTGAAGTAGCATCTGTGAGATACCAAACACGCCAAGTTTTCTTCTGGTTCATAAAAAAGATTGAGAGTTAGGGAGGTTTACAAAATAGAAAACAGATAGATGGCTGGCTGTGAGTACATTTCCCGGTTTGTGAATCGAGAAACCCTTTGGCCTCCGTCACTTCCTAGTTCTGTAAATTAAGAAAAAACAAACAAACAAAAACATCAGGCATGTCACATGATTGTGCAAGAGCACTGGCAAACCCACTACACGCAGAGAGAACTAGCCTAGCTAGTGGATTGAATTACTTTGAAATGCAATACCAGGGTCTGATACTTAATTTATGCATTATTTCCATCAGAGTTTGTGGCTAGCCAGCAGGGTCCTGCAATGGGAAGAGCAACAGCCCTTGCCATACCCCGTCATGCACAATAAGGCACTGTTATTGAGATACTGCATCAGCACAACTGGAAGAACAGGTTTTCCACAGGTGGATAGCAGCAGGTCTGATTATTTCTGATCCTAACAACACAGTGTTAGGAAAGAGTAGTCCAGGCAGTCTGCTCAAAGGCGGTGCCAACTTCAGCTGCTCCTGCTCTCCCACTATAAGCCACATTTATTCTATGCCCCCATCTCTCAGGTATTCTCAAACTGCCAGGTAAGGGAGCCCTACAAAAAAACCCCAGCAACACAGGAGGTAAGGTGGAGGGTTACTGATCTATTTTCAAGGTGTGAAACTGTACTTCTGGAGGAAAATAAAAGTACAAGTGAGTAGCAGGGAAGTTAAAGTGGTGGATAAAGAGAATAGAAAAAGGAACTAATTGCAAAGTTTCTCAGTGTTAAGGAAAACTTGCTGTAGGGGTTCATCATGTGAATTTCTCTGGTTCTGCTGACAACTTCTCCGTTAGAGTCATACAGGGGAAGGCTTACTCTACCACAATAAGCATCCTAGCTTGGTGTTTGTGAGAGAATGCTTTGCAGCGAAACAGCTAGCAGTCTTGCAGTTTTCCAGTCATCGTCTGAAGCCATCCATGGCTTTAAGGAAACTGTTCAAATTTTTTTAACATTATTAAAGTCATCTTAGTAATCATGAAAATCAGTTTTCATAAAAAAGCTTAGAATCTTCGATTTTATGGCAAAGGGCAGATGGCATATCACTGTGTTAATGAGGCACACTCTATTATCTTCTCTCCTGTAAAAACAGATGCCCTTTGAGAATTCCTAAATGCAGTCCCATGGGTGTGCTCCCTTTGAACGTTCACCATCTGCTGCTGTAGTTCCTCAAGGTGACGTCTTGAAGGGAATACATGAACAGGACACTTTCATAGTCAGACAGTCACAAGCAGCAGTACTACCAGCAGTCAAAACCAGGTCTGATTTAACGAGCTGACACGCAGCATTAAATCCACACGTGGTGTTTTCTTGCACACTGTAGGAAACGGCACATTTCCTCTCCTTCTATAATGGTCTGATCTAGGTAGGCACCATGGGACAAGCTCAGGTGGCAGACCCCTCCCACACCCACTAAGGTTAACAGCCACGTCCGCTCTGAAGGAAGGGCACAAACCGCATCTGTTAGCAATGACTCCAGTCCCAACCCCATTCAGTGGGAGGGAAGGAAAGAAAAAGGATATAGCAGGGCTGTCAGTGAAAGGAAGTTTTAACTGAAGTCAAGGAAAGGCAGGTATTTTATAAATATTCTGCTTCTGAATGCGAAGTATGTCCCTTAGCTGAGACTGTCAGTGAAAATCTAGTCTAACACGACCCAGCTAAACAAAAGGGCAAAAGTTATCTCCATCTTTTGCTACGTACACACTATTTCAATACTAAGTCACAGAAAATACACCTTATCCAAGAACAAGTAAGTACAGCAAGTTATGTAGAGTGTCTAAATGGATGGGGTTTTTTATCCATTTATAACTATTCTTTTCAACACAAGAATCCCACCCTAAATAGACTTGTTCTTTTAGGTTATTCTGTAAGTTATTAGCTATTATCCTGGTGTGATGCTCTGCATGATTAACCTTAGGAGATACATCACACATGTCACTTCAAGCCAAGAACATTTTATTCTTCTCCATGTTAAGTCATGAAACAATCAGCCTGATATTCAAAATGCAATCTCGATCAGTAAGTGGAAAGATACAGATCAAAAGGCACTGGCTGTAGCCTTCTTGGTTATTTACATGTTGCAAGAGCAAGTAAGTCAGTCTCATTACTATGTGACATTAAGATTTCCTAACAAAGGAAGTAGCATCCAAAGCCTGCAGTTGTACATTCAAAAAGAGCTACTATCAGTTGTTTGTAAGCTGTTTCTAATACCGATCTGACTGAATTCCATGTTAGTTATGTGTAGTAATTACACATCACAAAGGATTTTATATGCTGCTTACATACTAACTGTAGAGGACTTTAAATAAAGCCTCTAACAACTATTTACAGTAGTTCTGCACGTTGGAGGCAAGAGCAGTCACTAGGAACAGCTTCCAGTAGACCGGATGGTAAATATCACAGCTCAGTTATTTTAAAAACAGATGTCTGTCCAGCAGTGAAAATGGCCCGCTGTGGGCCAGCATTGCAGCTGGTACAGACAGATGGGGAGCCAAGTAAAAACTTCATTTTTAGCCAGATCTGTTGCCTGATAACCTCGCTAGCTGGTGATGCCAACAGGGAACAGCAGAGCCTACCATGCTCTGTAGTAGCCCAGGGTTCATAGCAGCTATGCAGCTACAGTATCAAGAGTATCAGCTCAATTTTGACTGCGTGCATCCTAGATTCAGCCAAATTGAAATCTAGATCAAGTGTTGTTATTTTATCCTGTTACCTGATAGTAACAGATACTGATCTAATATTAGTAACTTGCCAAGTTGAGTTCTTTCACTTAAAGCATCTGACTCATTTTGACAAAAAAATCCACTCTTTTCCAAGAAGAGACTATTACACACTCCTGAATTAGCTTTGGCATAACAAATCATTGTTAGAGTTAATTCACACATACACTACTCACAGAATAAGCATATTATGAGTACACCAGTTATGAGATTGGAGTGGGGTTTTTTTTTTTTTGAGCTGAGTCCAGACATGGAAGCCAGAAATAAAAAAGAAATGACAAATTTTATTGCTCCAGTCTCACGTGAAGTGATCACTCAAACCCTTGCAACTTACAAGGTGCACCTGATGACTCTTTTATAAATAAAGTTACAAGTTTAAGACAAAAGACTAGTCTCAGTCAAGCCCAGTGCTCATGCTGTAGTTAGGGAAGACTGGACCATTTGGTACATCCTTCCTTCAGTTTTCTAATCAGTGCTATACCAAATGAGTTGGAAGGCATATTTGTGATCCTCTTAGCCAAGCATAACTCTTTTTCCCCCCCTCAACTTTAAAAAACCCTGAAATTACCTATGCTTCTAGAGCTTC